TAAGACAACTAGACTGACCACATTCTCTTCCTCCAGAACCCTGACTATCTCCCCCACAGTCCAGCAAATACAATTTATATCCCACCCACCGTTAGCCCTGTTGGTTTATGTCTTGGTTCCACACAGTCCTGCCCAAGATGTGATAGCACCCTCTCTACCACATAGAACAGTGTTGTTCTACCAGTCTGCTACTAGTTAAATGAAGGTAATCTATGAGAATAGACAAGGTATTTTCTTCTTTTAATATCTACCATATAGCACAAACTATACCGTGAGTCTGTTATCACTTGGGTTCAAATCCCATCTCTGCAACTCACTAGCTATAGGAGTGAAGATATGTAATTCCCAATTCTTTGGAATCTTCTTGTCAAAATGTGGTAGAGGATGTTAATTCTAACTTTCTTCCAACTTCCTATAGTTGCTGTGAGCTTTCAATAATAAAGCACATAAATTCCTTAGCAGAGCCAGAAATAGCTACTAGCTCTTAACATGAGGGTTAGGATTACAAACTATATTTTTCTGCACATATACAAGGGGCCTTCAAAAATATTTGTGGGAAATGTCAGTTATGAAAAAACTTCATGAAGAATTTGAGATTTTTGGACCAGATAGCTTTGCCTTTTAATTCCATTGTTCAAAGAACTTTTGGAAGGACCCTGATAAATGGGAACCAACTTCAGTAACAAAACAGTTAAGATTCAGGGAACCAGAAGACAGACTTCCAACTGACTCAGATTAACACTGATGTTATTTCCCTTATACAGATAGCAAAAAACGTTCTTTTTTCATTCCTTAGTCTAGTCACCAGGTAATCCTGAAATTACATGCAACCCCATGTGAATCAAATAAAGAATGAAAATAACAATTACGCTGAATCAAACATCTTATATGTATATGCTCCAAGTAGAAATTGAGCCTGAAAGAAAAAAGAACCAAGTTATTTTTTGAGCATATCTAAGAGATAGTTTCAGTGACTACTTGGGACAATTTTTGTAGTGACAGGCCCTATGCCTCAATGAGACCTCCAACAAAACAGGAGATCACAAGTTTATTGGAAAATTCCAACTCATTCTTTAAAAGTGGGGAATGAAGAATCTGAATCTTGAAGACTATTGCTGAGTGTCTTACACACAATAATCAAGAATGTATCAGAAAGAAAGAGTACTGTCCCCTCTCCAACACACATGTACACACTCTTTCCATGTAATCCTAACATAACTTATGTGATTCACAGCCTCCTTTGATATAGATATGGATGTGTGTGCACAAGTATATGTGGGCACATGCTCATAAGTGTGTGACTCATGAATACAAATGGGGGGAAAAAACCCCAAAATGCCAAAAATCACTATGGGATAAAGTTCTTAGTATAGTTCGCTATCATTGTGAAAGGGACCTCTGACAAGCTCAGGAACATTTCTAACCAATGCCTCACTCTTAAAGATAATTTCAGTAAAGAGTGTCTTCTTAAGAAATGCCAACTGTCACATGTCCTTTATCCTCTGTCTTTATTAAGGGAGGCACAATGAAAATGCCTAGATTATTTAAATGATGACTAATGGTTATTTTTATGAATGACATAGTTCATTTTCCAGTCCCCAAACTTTTCTCCCTTAGAACTCTCTTATCTCTATCATTCCTGTGGTGCTTATCACACCCCAAGTTGTATTCCAATTATGTAGGTGTCTGGCTTATCTCACTACTAACAAGACAGGGACCCTTCCTGCCCTTCTTCCTACCTCTCAGTGATGCCAAGCACAGAACACTGCACACAGTAGACACTCAGAATGCTATAGCCATTGAAAGTGAACGAAAATATAGCCTTCCCATTGAAGATCTCCTTTACTCACGGCCTTTTGGCTCCCCATTATTTGGAAAGTCAAGAGCCTAGGTGGCACAGGACCTCCGTTGTAAGCCCTGTCAGCATGATATACTCTCCAGCACCACTAGAAGCACATCAAACTCTCCTAATTGCTATTTAGTAAGCTAGACCCTCCTTCAGAACACGTGGTACTTCTTTTCAAGACTATTCAGACTCTTAGAAGGCAAGTGCAAGGACATCAGGAATAAAACCTTAAACTTGGACCAAGCCTACGACTCAATGAGCTATACATCCAGACATTATATCTTTGCTTGGAAAACAATGCTGGTTGTGTGGTGTGGGTTTTTTGGTTTTGTTTTTGCTTTTGTTTTGTACTGAATAAATAAAGATCAATCCTCTCCTATCCCTGACCTCCAAAGAAAATACATGACCATTCATTCAGCTGAATCCCTGTCATTCACTGACTGACTATACCTCACCATCACCCCCATGACAAAATGACTGAAATCATCTGAGTAAGCCCAGAGGAGAAAGCTGAGGCCAATGGCTGCATCCACAGTGGCCAGAGTGATGGTAAAGATTACCCCAGCTTCTATCCTTGCCATCTAAAGGTATTTGCTTGGGTCCGTCTGTGTTGTGACAGTGTCCTAGACTCAAATGAATGCCTCTAACACTCCACATTTTTGAGCCATTCAGTCATGCATTTTTGTTATTGTTGAAAGTGGTGCGAAATTGCACTGCATGAGCTAAAGTCCTTGGTGGTCTTCCAAGGATTCCAGCTCAAAAGGCACTTCCTTTGTTCCTCGGGAGAATGCAGTCCAGTAGGTCATTGAAAAGGGGAAATAAAAGCAGCAGCCCGGGAAGGAGATGAAGGACAAGACAAAAAGAAGAAAATGTTTTGGGTGGGAGCACATTAGCTTCCATTTCCTGGTTCTAGTCACTAATAACTCTCCTGTGTTTTTGCAGGGGAGAAGTGTCCTGCTAGACATTTAGGCAAAAAATATCCCTCAGGTGCTTTCTGGGGACAACCAAAGCATCCACCTGGAAGGAGTCGCTGAACACCCTTCAAGCCTCTTCTTCAGAAAGATGCTGACTGGAGAAGACACCTGGCCAGTAGGAGAAGGGGAGGGCCGCTTCACAAAGCACTCCCCAAAAGCTCCCACAGCTCCTCTAAAGGCCCAGCGCGCTTGCTGGAGCTTCCACATTCCCAGGGAAAGCACACCTGCATCCATCTATCCCACAGGCATGTGAGAGCCACAACTTGAACCAGGCAGTTCTGCTAAGGTCAGGCCCAAACACTATGCAGGTCATGAAGACCCCTGCCCGCTCCAGCTCTGACCTGCAGAGTTCCTAAGCCTGGGTGGCTGCTAGTTCACTTTTTTTATAGTGGGGCAGGAGGGAAGAGGAAAGAAAAGAGCACTTTTCAGGACTCTACCACCAATAAGCCCCTGCCACTCCCAGGACCTACTTGAGCTCCCCCCACAAGACAGGCAGCTGAAGGGCGAGTGGCCTTTGATCCAGGAGTGTGCCAGTAACATGCTAACCACCAAGGTACAGTGAGCGCCTGGGCTGCTCCAACTTCTTCGGTTCTATTTCTAGACAGATGCCGGTTGCACTCGCACAAAGTGCCCAGCAACTTCCCTCAATTACCTTTGTAATTTATATGTAATTGATGACAGCATTTAATCTCCCAGGTTATTAATAGCCCTTCCCCCCAAAATGACTCCCAAGTCTTCCCAAGTCATTGGAAGTTGCTTGGTTGAAATTACAGTATTTCCTTGCCTGGCTGGCTGGCTGGCTGGCTGCCTGCCTGCCTGCCAGCCAGCTGGCCAACCAACCAGCCAGCCGGCCGGCCGGCCAGCCAGCCCCTATCTGCCCCACCCGGGCGACCAGGCATGGCGAGGCAGAGGCGTGCTCTGCACACTTCCATGAAAGGTTCGGAATGGAGGCTTGGCCCTCTGGGCTCTCGACTCGCTCACTCCTCCGTTAGGTTTTGCTGGCCAGCAGCCAGCTGCAGTCCTGGTTCTTTTCTGAGCCCCTAGGGCGAGTAGGGTACCTGCACCTCCGCGGGCACCCGTGCGGCCCATGAGGCTGCGCTCAACAGTTGGTGGCTGGAGAGTGAGCCAGTGAGCATGGCCCGGAGCTGGGACCCGCCTGGGCACCGCCTCTGGGGAGGGCTGCAGGGCGCCGCAGGCTCAGCAGCTTCGCCAGCGCTCCGCCAAAGGGCTTTCGCAAATACATCACACACAAAGCGCGCGCGAGCGCGCACACACACACACACACACCCTCACACACAGCACCACAACTACCACCAACAACAACCCGCTACCCCCCAGCACCAAAAAGCTGGCCCAACTTTTTTCACAGGCTAAACTGCCATTTGCATAACCATCCCCAAACACAGCTTCAGGTTTCCTGTAATCAGTCCTTTCAAAGGTCTGCAATTGAAAGTGCAATTAACCCTTAAAATGAGGTGAGAAAAAGAAGAAAGGGAGAAAGGGTGTCCTTCTTGTCCAACACCTTCCGGAAAGCCGGAGAGTTCCCAAAAGTCAGGGTATGGAGGAGTGGAGAGGAGGGGGAGTCTGCTTTTTAACGGCGACTTCTAAAGCCATTGCAGCTCCTCAAACTCCTAATCCGTGTCAGCGGCAGAAGAGAGGCGGGGAGAGGGTTTTAAAAGAACATCAATGAAACATCGATTCCACTTGCTTGCGCCACCACCCCCCACCCTCCCGCAATCTGGCATACTCGCAGAACATTCTCTCTACCAGTACCCCATACCCAATCTCTTGTCACCCACACAACAAAAGCGGGGAGCCCAGGAAGCTCAACCCGGAAAAGGCGAGGAAGCCGGTGACATGCACTTTGTGCGCTGGAGTCAGTCCTCAGGAGCTTCCCGGGACCCAGAGATCGGGGTGTGAGGGTGTGGGGGAGCGGCAGAGAGCGGGAGTGGCACCGGTTAAGAAAAACCACAGGTCCCCCCGACTCGCAGTGCCCGGGAATGGGGGGGTGGCCGCGGCGCCCGCATGGCACGTTCCGCGCCCCGGCAGGCTCGCTCTCACTCTACCGGCCTTTCCGTTTCTTCCTCTCGGCTACCTGCGAGCGGCGCGCGCAGGGGGCGACCGGGCGCGCGCTTCGGCCCCTTTACCGGAGCGCTCGCCTGCCCGGGGTTCCCACCTACCGTTGATCTCGTGGAGGGGGGCATCGTTCTTGTTGAAGCCCTTGGACACGTAGAGACGTCGCACTTCCGAACAACTTTTCGACTTGAGCTCGGTAGCCAGCAGCGGGGTGCTGAGAGCGGTCAGGAGGCAGAGAAGCGCGGGCAAGCCGAACCGTGCCATGCTGCGGGCCCGGGGTAGACGCGTTCCACCTTTGGGACAGGAGGAGACGGGACGGGAAGCGGCGCTGGGTGGCGCGGGCCAAGGGGCACCACGTCGGGCGGGGGCGGGGGTTCGCGAGTGGAGCGAGAAAGCGAAGGAGTAGGAGTTGGAGTTGGTAGTGGTGGAGGAGGAAGAGGAAAGCAGGCGGAGGAGACGCGGGGCTTAAAGTGGAGCTGGGCCTCGCGTCAGGCAACGGTTCGCGGTGCCAGGCGCGCAGTCGGGGCAGGAGGAGGAGAGGGCGTGGAGCGGCGCGCGGCCCAGGGGAGCAGAGGCAAGGGCCGGTGACCTCTGGGCTCAGCTGGGGCAGCGAACCTGGCGAGCTGGCTGGCCGGCCGGCAGCGTAGGGTGCGAGGAAGGAGGGAAGGTGGCAGAGCCCGCGGAGGGTGTGGGCGGCGCCGGCCGCTCGCTGCGAGCTGCTGGAGCTGCCCCGCGCTGGGTCCGCTTGCCTGGCTCGGCTCCCTCTGCCCTCGGCCGCGCGGCTTTACCCGTCTCAGCTCTGCCGCTGATTGACTGGCCGGCTGGCGCGGCGAAGCTCGGCAAACTTGGCCAAGCGGGCGGCACTAGAGGGGGTGGGGAGGGGGCGGGCGGCACGAGGGGGGCGGGGTGGGGGAGCCCGAGACAGGCGGGAGCACGCAGGGCCGGGCCGGGAGAAAACCTGGAAACCGGGTTGGATCCGGAGCAGCCAGATCCTCTTCCTAGGGGTTGGGGGGGCCGCACCAGGCGTGCGGCGCTCCCTCGCCGTGACACGCCCCGTCGGACTCCTCCTTCCTCCCCTCCTCCTGGGAGGCGGGGGAACCTGCCCGCCGCCCCCCACCCAAAGAGGAAAGGCCAATTTCTCGGCGCTGAAGAATCCCCAAGTCCCAGGAATCGGGCGGCCTGGGATCTATCCCGAAGCCCACGTCTGAGCGATTAAGCCTTCTGCGGGCGGCCACCTGACTGGCTGTGCGCGGGCCAGCAACCGCGCGGAGCTCTCCGCCGTGATACCTGCCCGCCCGCTTCCATCCCCTGCGTGGCGTGCGGCGGGGAGAGAGGGGGGGATGCTCCCAACCGCCCGACTCCCGGGCTGGGCGGAGAGAGCTCTCACATTACTGGCATTGTTTCGCCGCAGGCAACAGGGGCACTCCCAGCTGTGGCCCTAAGAGCCTCACCTGGCATTTGCCAGACGTGCTGACCTCCTAAAGGTTCGCACCGACTGGTCCGGGACTCCTCTCCACCCTGACCCTCCTCCCACTCAACACTCCAAGCTTCACCCTGCCACCGGTTCTGCAACAAGGCTAGCAGAAACTCCTGGGCTGTGAGGGCGTGGGACAGAGTCATAGTTAACTATGGCAGACGTAGCAGACCATCGGGCTCAACCCCTGCTTTGGCCGTTAGGGGAACTGAGACCCAGCAACTCACTAAACATCACGCCTGACTTGGTGGGACGGGTTGGAAACGTAAGCCCTGACTCCCCAGCTAGTAACCCAGGACACCCCCTCCCGCCAAGCTTCTGGAGAGAAATGGATATCCTTCTGGGACTCAATCTCCACTTATCCACCAGAAAACTGGGAATGGGTGAGCCTTCCCACCTTGCAAGCGTTGTCAGATTCCATTAATGAATGTTTTTGAAGCTGCCTGGGCTCCTTTAATGAAGGGAACTGCGCAGATTGGGAACTTGTCATTACCCTTGTTATTGTTGCAGTCTGCTAGCAGAGGTGAGGGTGAGAAGTGCCTCAGACACCTCGGGAGTGTGCTGGGAACTGGGCAGATAAAAAGAGCTGGAACTTATTATTTGGCTAGACTCTCAATTCCCATAAAATTACATAGGGTGAAGATATGAACCATCATTACAATTATCGCCCTCGGAGGGTTTGTGGCGACTTCCTCCACTGTTGCTTGTAAACCACGTTGACATGGTTGGCTAGGAGAAAGCAGAGAAACCCGCTGTAGCTGTTTGGAATGCCTGCTGCAGGCTCTTCTACATTTTATTGACTCTTGGAGACCATCGGTATAAACAGATTGCGACCAGTTTCAGACTGGAACTTCCAATTTCTGTGGGTTGGCAGAATATTGAACTCTGAAACTAGGAGAGCAGTGTTTTCGAAGTATCCAAACTAAACTACAATTGAACTTCCTGCCATTTTCAAACCACTTTCAATGGCCAAGACTTTCCCTACACTGATAACCATCAAAGGTCTTCAGGGAATTTCTAGGGTTGATCCCTGGGAGCCAAGCTCTCGTTGATGGCTGCGTTTAGTTCGAGATGTTCTTTATGCAGGAGAGTATCTGAGATGCAACTGACATTAACAGTACCATGAAACCTAGTGACCATAAGTGAACAAATGATACTACTAAGCAAGAAGAGATCAGAAAGCTGGAGCTCCTGACAAGTCCAGGGGGAACTCATTTTCAACATCCCCCCCCCCCCAGTTCACTCCTGCTCTTCCTCTTAATGTATTATTAACCAAAACTCGAGTCTCTTCCACCAGAAACAGTAACCTCTGGCTACAAACAGATCCAAACAAGTCTGAACCTTACCGTAGGAGGCAGGAACCCCAAGCCCTGCTCAGAGGCGGCTCCTACTTCAAAGCCTCCTTTCATTTAAATACAAACAGGGCGAACAACTGGCAATCTACAAAACAAATAGCATCCAAAAGGGAAGCTTTTCAGATGGCCCCTAGCTCCTTCTTTCCTTGCCCTGCCCCCACTCGGGTTCTGTGGCTCTGGAAGGGGTGTGTGTGTTCGCGTGTAGAGGAGATGGGGAGGAACTTGCACCCACTCCTTTTGAGCCCTCCAAATGCCGAACATGGAACTGGAAGCTTGTGTGGGGAATTCAAGAATCAATGATTTCTCACACTCATTAGCTCTCATACAACACAGGTTGTTGGTTGATTGGTTGGTTGGTTGGTTGGTTGGTCTTTTTGTTGTTTAGTAGTAGGTATTGTTGTTGTTTTACCTTTCTCTTTTTAAGAGAATTATTTATTTTTATTGAAAAGGCAGATTTACAGAGAGAAGGAGAGACAAAGAGAAACATCTTCCATCTGCTGCTTCACTCCCCAGATGCCCACAAGGGCCAGAGCTGAGCCTATCCAAAGCCAGAACCAGGAACCAAGAGCTTCTTCCAGGTTTCCCATGTGGGTGCAGGGTCCAAAAACATTGAGCCATCTTCCTCTGCTTTCCCAGGCCACAAGCAAGAGCTGGGTGGGAAGTGTAGCAGCTGGGACTTGAACTGGCACCCATATGGGATGCCAATGCTTGGAGATAGAGGATTAGCCAGTTGAGCCAATATGCCTAAAATACACACACAGAAAGTTTACCATGTTAGCCATTTCAGATTCAGTGGTTCAGTGGCACTGAATGCAGCCAGAATGCTGTACAACTGCCCCCCCCATAATGACATCGTGATACCATTAAGCATTCAAAATTCATACTCTTCTTTGTGGGTTTGCCCATTCTGGACACCTCCTATAGACGGAAGCATATAATCTGGGGACTTGGAGACTGGCTTCTTTAACTTAGCATTATGTTTTCAAGGTGCATCCCTGCTGTTGCATCTGGCACTACCTTTTGGTGGCCAAATTGCATATTCTATTGTGCAGATACATGTGCTCATTTTGGCAGCACATATACACTGTACAGATACATCATGTTTTGGTCAGGGAGCACTTGAAAGTTTGCAAAGTGCTTAATAGCTTTAGAAGTCCATGTTGTTCTTGATAAGCAAACCACATCTACAAGGTTATATGGCTTGTTTACAGCTGGCAGTATGCTTGAGGACCTTGAAGCAAGACTGCAATCTCAGGGGTGCTTTTGGTTAAACAAGCGAGACTATGGACCTGCCCGGATGCTGTGGAAGTGTTTCTGCTTTGGATGCGTAAATGTTCATTCAACATATACTATGTGCTAACTGCTGCTCAGTCCTAGAGGCAGATGAGATGTGCATGCCGGGAGGAATATGCAGTGTTGTGTACCATGCAAGAGCTGTGCTCACATGGAATGTGCTTAGAGCATAAATAGTTTTCCCAGGAGAAGTTTCCTGTGGCACTGGGTGAGGGGAGCATTTGTGGACATTCATGTGCCACTGTCCTTTAAGTCAAAACATGTGATTGAGTCAAATGTTCTCTTTCAGCTTTGGGGACACTTCTCTTGGCCTTCTGGGTGGCCACCCTCGTGACCACATACAGGACTAGGAAGTGGGGTCCTTCCTCAGGATAAGGTATTGGCCTGCGATCCTCCATTCTCTCCCATCCCCTACATAGCCATCAAAGTGACCATTCAACAACATCCTCTGAAAAATACCCCTCCCTTGCTTAACCCTGCCACCTGCCACCTGCCTCCTGTAGTTCCCCACTGCTTTACAGATCAATTCCCAAGTCATTCAGTAGCTCCGAATATTTGCTATTGGGCTATAGTTAACGTTACCGGCTTTCTTAGTTGGCTGATCATATACTCCGTGTTCTGGCCTAACAAGAGCCTTGTTCTCTATCATGTCATGGATTCCTGGTAACCTTACCCTGCCCATGTGAGAAACAGCCTTTCTTTACCCTGTCGTTCCTTGGACTTCACACTTCTACCTTCATGACTCAACTGAAATGCTACCTCTGGGAAAGCCTTTCCGGATTCCCCCAAGCAGAGCTAGTGTCTCCTGCTTCTGGGCTTCCAAGCACTCTCAATACGAAATAACCACACTTTACTCTTCCACAGAGGCCCATCTTCCTTTAAGAGGACTTACAGCCCAATCCTGAAAAAGAGCTCTTTCAAGTTTTATTTCTGTTTGCATGCCTAGTGCCTGCTGGAGTCAGGTTCATTCGTTGGGTAGTTCCCCTGGGGAATAGAAGACCCATGAAAGGGTGCTTCAAACAGTTCATGGAAAATGGAATTAAGTGTAAGCTTATATTATCACAAACATTTTGAAATCCATGCATTGTTTTTTAAATTTATTTATTTTTAGGATTCATTTGTTTTTATTCAAAGGACAGATTTACAGAGAGAAGGAGACGCAGAAAGGGAAAGATGTTCCATCTGCTGGTTCACACCCCAAATGGCCCAAATGGCCAGATGATCTGAAGCCAAGAGCCAGGAGCCAGGGGCCTCTTCTGGGTCTCCCACATGGGTACAGGATCCCAAGGTTTTGCACCATCCTATACTGCTTTCCCAGGCCACAAGCAGGGAGCTGGAAGAGAAATGGAGCAGCCAGGATATGAACCAGTGCCCATATGTAATGCTGACAATTGCAGAGAGAGGATTAACCTGTTGATCCATGGTGCCAGCCCTGTTTTTTTCTATATAAACATTTCCAGGAACTTTCAGAAGACTCTTCCAGTTTGTACTTGAGTCTTCTTTGTTCTTAAATGTTAGCAGCTACACCAGACCTCTTACAAGTTTGTCAGATACACTCAGCCAATCTACAGCCCAGAAGTCACCCTTTGCTCCACATTTCTCCTTTGAGAATTTCTCCTTCTTGCCAAATCAGATCCATGAAAAAACGGCTCTGGCCAAGATGGCACACAAGGTG